TTTTTTTTGTGTTTTTCCCATACAGAGCCGATACAAACTGCAAATAGTTTAGGTATGTGTCTCTGTGCGTATTCAGATATTTGTTCTAATTTACAACTCAGCAACTAGGAGAGCTAGAAAGTGAAAATTTTAAGAGGACGTTTTCCATGGTCCTACCAGTTTAAAATTTCCGGTTAAATTTCCAGTCCTGCCAGTTTAAAATGTATTTTCGCGTTTATATACTTTTACTCTTTCACTCATGGATACATGGAAGCTTTGGTAGAGAATTAAATTCGTCTTCCAGTTTTGCCCGTACCTCTCGTATGTTCACGTAAAAGCTCAGGTGGAAAACTTGCTTGGGATCCAAGCAAGTTAGAAAGCCGACTTTTTGGAGCATGTTTTCTGTTCATATGTGAACCTCATACGATATTAACTTTCATGCATCCTACGCAAAGCAGATTGTCTCACTAGTTACCTCATATATGCTGCGATTTGTTATTTGCCTGCTCCCGACAAATTAGTGGCTAAGTCCAATGGCCTCAGTTGGCCGCTTTCGATTTCTAGAATTTTCAAGTTGCTATTTTGATCAAATTTACTTTACCTCCAAGCGCAATCCTACGTCCTTTTCATTTTTCATGGATTTTGATTTGCTGTTGATCATAAAAGAGGAAGAGCCGCTTTCGCAGCACAGGCGAATAATCACTGATGCCACTCGGTACTCAATATGCTGTTATAATATTCGAATCATAAATGAGATCAAAGGGGAGCTGATGCTGGATAAGCCATCCGAAGATGATGCTGATGAAGCGATAGCAGGTCATTTAGTTATAAACGGTTGTTAACGGAAATTCTTCGCGTGGGAAAACGGCCACATTTTGTCAAGGAGCACTTGCTTGACGACGAGCGGCCTTATCAAATATTTCATGTAGTGCTACTCACTTGCTTGATTTATGGATGTTCTCAGAAACTTTTCCCTCCAAATCCTATTGACAGCTTTACAAGATCCTCTTTTCAAGAAAAGCGCCGCGAGAGGATGAGAAATCCGCTAAAGAGAAAACTTTTGCAAATAAACGATACCAGTTTTGAACCAATAAAGAGATTCTGTATTTTTGTTCGGAGTGTTAACAAAAGCGGTCAGCGACGGATACTGCCGATTATAGTTGAAGCAAATATTTTAGGAGGAAGGTCTGGTGCAGTTGATTTTCGCATACAGCTATAGTTCTGAGAGCTGGACCAATCAGTGGATCTGGAGCTGGATCCATTGTGAGCAATCGATGGGTTTTAGATCCTTACAGCTGAAAATATCGTGCTTTTTCTTTCGCTTAAACTGCGGTAACGGCTAGGAAAAATTGAAGACTCATCTAAAAGGAATCTGAAATTTTAGTTGCTGCTTCTTTCCCAGTTTTTATGCGTTTTTGCATATATGTAAATTGCAAAAACGCATATTGGGAAGAGGCTGT